TACAGGTTTAAGCTGTTGGAAAGGCCTTGCTGTCTTATAATGGAAAGCCTTCTGCGTATCACACTTTGCTCCTGGGACACAGCATGTTGGTGAACAGGCAGCAAATACAGCTAAGCCACATCAAACAGCCAGCCCAGTGTCAATCTTCATGCTAGCCTTTGCAGAGCCACTTGAAGTGTTTCAGCAGCACTCTTCACAGGACTCAAGTTGCTGACAGACTGCAGCACAAGAAACCAGCATGGGTCCAGCATGACCACCCACCTCTCAAGCCCTGCTTAAAGCCAGGTGCTGCAGCATGCTTCCTGAACACACTGCAAAATTGTTTTACAAATCAACTGGGTTAGTGTCTTACAAAGTCATTCTAGTATGCCTGTGCTGTGCTACCAGAGTAATTGGCTTTTTTTTTTTTCCCCAGTACATAGCAGCTCCTCCAACACTCCAGATAACAGAAACAGCTTCCCTCTAACAAGGGCAAACTGTCTTCGTCCTTTTAAATGGTGTTCTTCCTTGTTTCCTGACTTCAATATCTCATGGTTGTAACATGTACCAGCTATGTTTATTTTTACATCTCCTCATCCAAAATTGTGTGTCATGCACTGAGTAGGTGTATTATCAGCTCCCAACACAATCATCATCTGCTACACCTGATAGTGCCTGTCTGGAATTCAGAATATCACTCTTAGCAAAGGGCCTACTTGTCTGAACTGGCTCACATGCACCCAGCATTGGACTGTTTGTTTGCTGGAGGGGTTTGCTTTTATACATGTCTCTTATAACATCACTTTTCGAGATCCTTTCTGCCTACGCATGGGGTTTTAAAAAGAGTGCTGAACAGGAGTAGGATGGAGGATTTATACCAGGAAACTCTTAAACTAGGATAAGAAATACTAGAGAAATGCTTTATGTAAGAAGTCAGCTGTAGTGCTCAGAGTCATGAGACATGTCCTTAAAAGGCACATGGACAAGGTCAAGGACTTCACTACGCAGGCCCAGTTATTCAAGCATTATTTACAAGAAAGTCCAAATTCAATACAAGTGGTCAAATTACGAGGAATTCCTGAAGCTGTATCTGTGGTAAAGAACTCACAAGTTTTGAATATTTCTTGGATGAAGATAGTATCATTCACCTCACTGAACCACAGAGCCAGGATGTGAAATGAAAATTTCTGTGTAGCCACACAAACTGTAGCATCCACTGGCACCCACAGTACAGAGATGATCCATAAAGTTAGCTCAAGTTAAGTAATGCAGAAATAGTTTGTACTTGCTTTCAAAAATACTGATTGTTCAGCATAGTAGCAGTGTATTAGCAGAAATAAAACTTAGCCATCAACCAACCAAAGACCCATGAAACAAAAACAGACAAAGGGTCTATCTATGGCTACATCTAGATGATATTTTTTAGGAGCGTTTTAATCAACCAACTGTAAATAATGCAACAACCACCTTGAACCTTGCCTGGAATGAAGAACGATAACAATCAGGACAGCCACGGTAGATAAGTGAACTTCAGGAAAGCTCAGATGAGCTAAACTTACTCCATTAAGTCAGCAGTAGTATGTCAGGGCCACCTTATAATACAAAAGCAAAATGCATTCAGACTAAACAAACCTGACTGTATCCTTGGTCTAGAAATCTGGAAAGGTAGCTACTCAGTAATCTGCATAGATACACAGCTGAACACCTTTTATTGATGAAATCAAAATACTCAAGTTTTTAATTTATTCACTCCAGATTTTGTTCATGCATGCAGCCAAAGATTTTCCCAAATGAATGTTATAAATAAATTGTGCTAAAAGGAAGCTACAGGGTTTTCCTCCCATGTTTCCTAGAAACAGTACATCAGTACACTGCTCAGTGGCATCTGTCTACCAAAGTTCAGTCATCTCTTCTGCCACATTCTGTCACAGTAAATGTTTTGAATATTAAACAGTAACTTAATTCTAACAAGCACACAGACTTTTTAATAGGAATTACAAGCTATCTTCTCCTGAGCATATACAGTTATCATGTCTAGGATATAACAAAAGATAATTGACTATTGGCCAATCAAAGTTCCACGAGTTTTTATGGCAAGAAGAATAACATATGATGAAACATGTCGAAAACGTAATATCCTAATTAAATTATTCTACAGTATGAAGGTCAAAGACCAGTTTGAAATGCATACTTAGCAAGCAGCTTGAAAATATCATAAATCATGTCAGCCTCCCTGTATTTTAAAATAAGTTTGTTTTCATCAAAACAGCAAGAGATGAGAGGCAACCTAGAAACACTGATAAGACAGGATGCAAGAAGGGGAAAAGGGACTAATGTAGTATCAGTCAAGAGGAGACAGGCCTCTTAGGACATGAATTACAAATTTGATTCATGTACTGCATCAAATAAAACATAAGGATAATTGAGTTATTTCTCCCATTTAGACCTCTAATGAAAACACAGACTATTAAATTTATCTTTATATTGTTTCCACAATCTCCTGGAATTATATGATATAGTCCATTGTTATTTATTTTGTTTATTCTAAAATTAGCAAAAGACATAAAACACAGAGAATTTAAAGAGTAAGGACAATAATATCCTCATCCAAGATTCTATCATTAGATCAATTTTACCAGATGGAGCAAAAAGTTTATAACCAGCTGCAACTGCTGGCCTTACCAGACACTGGTTACTCTCCTATCTCTCTCAGAAAAGCATTAAACACAATTTCAAGAATGAACTAACTAAAAGAATTTACAAGAACCAAAATAGTTCAGATGAGTTAAATAATTATTTAGGTTCTGATAAGAAGTTTCACAATCAAAAAGTTTTAAAAAAAGATGAGTGGGCCAAACCCAGACTTGCTTCTATAAAACTAGGTACAAAGGGGTCTCTGACATTCTTGTTAAAACACTTTGCATAAGAAGCCCAGTAAGAATCACATTACCAAAATGTAGTAGAGCTCTGGGGTCATTTGTTGTTTGCTTGTTTGTTTTCCCATTGCTAACGAGTGGAACAAGTGACAAGGCAAGGATGAAAACAAGGCAAAAAGAATACAGTAACATCTGACATTTTTGCCACCACATCTGTGTCTGAAGATGCTAATGCCCTTAATCTACTAGAAACATGATCAACAAATGGGTCACTTTTTAAAATGAGCTAAGATACACATGGCTAAAAAGAGCTTAATATTAGTAAGTTTTACCAAATGGTATTATGATAAGGCTTTAAACAAACGTTATAGACGTTAAGATGTCAGTCAGAGATGGCACACCAGGCTACAAGAGCCTTCAGTCTGACCTGGCACAATCATTCTTATTGCTGTTGAACCAGGCTTCTGCTAATTTTACCTAGGGTCTCTGATACAGGTCCACTTACCCACCAACTGTGCCCCAATAATTGTTCATCACTGCTCTTCTGCCAGAACTTACTGCTCCTGACACTCAGGGGCATAAGAGAACATGGATGCACACATACACTTCCCTGGTGCAATATCAGGCACTGATTCATTTACTGCCTAAACCATCAGGTTCTGCACATCGGTGACTGAATCCTACATACCTGCTGCTACTGCAGCAGTTACGTCTGCTACAAAGGCAAAAACAAAAGCCTGAGGTCACAGGGATATCTTAAACTGCCACAGTTGGTCACTAGGTGAGTATATGCCACTGCCACCTAAATCTGTGACTCTAGTAGAGTTTGTCAGTGCATCTGTACCAGCCAAACCGTACTGTGAAAAATCACTTTAGGTCAACAGGTCAGTTCAGGAAGAGTGTATGCTGTACCAGTTTTCCAAAAGAAAACAATGTAAAAAAGGTAAAACCTTTACTTTTTGCAGAGCAGCATCTTGTCTAGGTTTTTCTCCTGGCACAAATATGTTCTTTATGACTATAGTTTTCCACTCATCTTTCTGATGGACCTATCTTGGAAAAACTTTTAAATACTGACCATGACTTTCCACCAGTTCAGCCAAACAAGTATACTTTTCACCCCACCTTCTTTCTCAGAGAATTACATACAGACACATGCCACCAAATAGCTGTTCTTCTACAGTATCTATTACTGGAAGAAAAAAAGAATAAAAATCAGGAGCTGCGAATCAAGTAGCATGTTACCATATCCATCTGCAAAAATACTTGCCCCCCTCATACGGGTGCCTCGAACAGAATATAGCTACAATGAATGCTCTTTCTTAAATGCCGGAATTATTGCCCCCTAGTCAGAGGGTGCTTTCACACTCAGATGTGGATTTTGCATGAAGCACGCTGTTAGTCAGCAAAGTTCTGACTTATCATTTATCCCAGCCCGCCCCAAGGGCTGTAGTGCCAAACCCCGCACCGCAGCCGCTTCAGTCCTTCGTCGCCGTTTCTAAACGCAGCCGGTTCTTTGTCCTGTAAACAAGCTCAGAAGCAAACCCCAGTGCCTGCGGAGTTCGTTCAGGGAACGCTGGGGATATGACACGATTTGCACAGGCTGCGGGTAAAAATAAAGTTAAACAGAGCTGGAAACGTATTCGCCCCCAAAGCTGCCTTCCCAATTAAGCGGTTTGAACAATCACCTTCTTCGCGCGTTAAAAAAAGAGCTCCTTCTCTGCTCTGATATACATCTCTACATATATATACACACACACAGACGCAGAGGGAGAGCGGGGGACTCGGCCGCGGCGGCAGAGCCCCCCCCCCCCCCCCCCCAGCACTGCCGGACGCACCGCCGCGACTCGGCTTTGAACAGTCGAGCCGAGGCCAGGCCGCCTCTGCGGGGAAGGCGGCGGGAGCGGCTCCGCGGCGCTCAGGCCGCGGCCGCCCCGCCACGTCCCTCACGCCGACACACCCCCGCCCTTGGCCGCCGCCCCCCCCCCCCCCCCCCCCCCCCAGCCGCGGCGGGGGCCGGTTACTCACAGAGCCCGTTGGAGCCGGTACTGGTGAACATGGCGGCGGCCCAGCCGCGGCGGACGCCGCTGGCGGAACCCGGGCCCCCCCCGTCCCTCCCCCCCTCGCCCCCCCCCTCCCCCGAGGCCCGGCAGACCCTGAGGAACGGCGGCGGGCCGGGAACGGGGACGGCGCCGCTAAGGCGGCCGCGATGGGCCAAACGCCGCCGTCAACCGAGCGGCCAGCGCCCCCTGCCGGGCCCGGCCTGTACCCGCACCCGTACCCGCCCCCCCGGCCGGCGGCCGCCCTGTCAGGGAGCGGGATCGCCCCCGCGCCGACCCCCGCGGGACGCGGCGAAGCCTCGACGAGCCCCTATGGGCGGAATAATATACTCGTAATTAACCGGCGGTAAGGCGGGGGCAGCTCCCGAGGGCTGGTTCTGTCAGAGGGCGGCATCGGCCCTCAGGCGAAGGGAAGGGCGCTTCAAAGCTGGGGCGTGGCCAGGCCGGGATAAAACATAAATTAGGCGACGTAGATTGTAGGTAATTACTTCTGTCTTTATAACGATGATTTACATTTCAAATTTTGTAGGTGCCTTGGGGAAGCCTGACTCCTCGCGCTTTGGAAAACTGCGACACCCGAGGCTGGCCCCGGCTTTGGAGCCCACAGGAGCCCTGTGAGCCCTCATTACAGCTACGGGAGACGCAGCCGGTACGTCCAGTGGAGTCTGGAGAGCTGCTCGGGTGACCGAAGGAAGGTGTCTGCTTCAGGGTGAAGCTACTTGCTCCCTAGGCTCCGCCGGCTGTGTTGAACTGGCTCGCTGTAACGGTTAAGTGCGACACCTAACTCTACCAGCATGCCAAACACCTAATATACAGTGAGCCAAATTCCTGATTCCATTCAGATGCGGTACAATCGGGCTGAAATTATTCAGGCACCAAATTCCACTGATATTTTCAAGTCCACGCAGAAATCAGAGTTTACTGAAATAAGTCATGTGAGGTGTTCAAAAGGTGGTTCTGCTCTGCATCACAGGTGTGCATGTCAGGAAGAAACAGAACAAGGGGGGGGTGTGCGTGTGTGTACACTCGACAGAACTGTGGGCCTCAAAGTCACATTGAGCTTACTGTGGTACGAGATGGAAAACAAATGCCTCTCTGGAACCAGAAAATGTAGCTCATCAGGTAGGTAACAATTTTTAAATAGGGAACCAATATTAAAAACTTTGTAGGCAAGTCATAAATTTGTTATATTCCGTGAAGTTTTATTGTATAACAACAGATACGAATATGCCTTTTAATAATTACATTCAAATGCAGCTATTAAATAGAACTTGTAAATGTGAAGATCCTGAATCTCTGTCAACAAAATCTCTTAACGCTGCCAAAGGGACATAAAAAAACATTATGCTTGGGTCCACAAAGACTTAAGCAAAGTTCAGCATATCAGTATGTAATTTTTAAGATGTCCAGCTCCCAGCACTAATTTCAGATTTCTGTGGCTCACTTGTCCTCTTTGTCCAGGGCCGGCAGTCAGACAGGTAGCAGTGGGATTCAGAGTCAGCTCACAGAGCAGGAGGAATGTCTAAACTACCCAGAAGGAAGAACCAAAACAATGGTGCATTGAAAATGCTGACTCTCAGGCTGATTCTTTCCTCAGCAAAGAATCTAAATTGACTTCACAGCACGAAACCATCATGTATCTTGTGTCTTTGGTTACAGACAACTGGCTTACTCTTTGCTGTTAAAGCACATCTGGAAGAAGTGATTTGCTACAGAAATTCTCCTTTCTTTCAAATGCAAATGGATTTGGCTGCTGTATGTTGCATATGCAAACTGTCTTGCCAGTATACTGCTGAATGCGCATAATCATACTTAAGTCACTGGCAGCTCTCATTCCTAAGGAAAGGGAAGGTAAATAATGAGGTGCAAAGCTTGCATTAGTTCAGTGTGAAACCTCATTGGGAAAAGCTTGGGTGTTTCCTGAAGCTTAAGGGATCTAATGAGGTACTCATGGATTAATTAATCACCATTTTGGACTTTTTTGACTAACCTCCACTTAAAGTAATTAAGCCTTCTTGTGGATCTGGCTTTCATATAGGTGAGGATAAAACCTGAAAGCTTTTCCATCATTGCCTGTGTAATAGGCTTAGGATTGCTGTTTTAATGCTGAAGATAAAGCTTTATTTTAGTTCTTTTCACAGTCACATAGAATGGAGTGACAGAACAACCATTCATTTAGAGGGTTACAGTCATGATATCCAAGAACTAGTGTTCTACTCTTTTTACAAACTCAGTTTTGAAGATTTCCCTACATTGATGTCCTACAAGGTAAATATTGAAGGGATTCTTCTCTGCAACGTTGAGTACTGGAATTGGATTGAAGTCAGAATCATTAAACGTATTGGAGACTTATGCATGTATTTTGCTGAATAAGGATGCATTTGGGCAAATAATTAACTATTTTGGAAGCAGCTCTGTGGAATTTGTTATCACCGACAGATACAGCAAAACTGAATGAGTAGCAAGAGTTGGCAAGCTTCTCCTGACAATATATGAAAATACTCGCAAATTTGTCGATACAGCTGGGATACAGGGACCTGGCTCTGAATTTACTTGCCACTATCTTATTTAAGTCTATAAATATATTACTGAGTCTTTGAAACATCTAATGATATTCCTTGTTTCAAAAAATATTTATTAGGTCACTTTTTCTGGGATTAGATCAGAATAGTTTTTGCCCTCAGATACAGTTCCAAGCAGAGAGGTTTTTTTTTTATCCCAGCACCGTCAGTGTTGACTGCTAGCTTGTCATAAGAATTACACAAATTATTTGCATCATTTAAATATACAGTGTTGTCCACTTTGGAGTTAACTAAAATCATCAGTCCTCACGCTCGCCTTGGAATGTATCCCAGAATAGGAAAGCTAGCACTTATCTACTAATCTACTCAGAACAAGTTTAGGAGGCTTTGACACTGCTCAAATGTCAGCTTAAATATCTCCATTTGTTTATTACCTCGAGTTAGTGGGGTCAATTCGGTATGTTCAGAATAAAGTTATTTAAATTTCCTGCTCAAAAGACAATCCTAGAAGACTGGAATTTGTATTTCACACTGTTTTCTAACATCATTAGGTTGCTTTCTTCTCTGAACTGGTGACGTTATTGAACCAACTCTTAATTACTAATTAATCTCTTAAGTCAGATGTTCCCCTGCCATATAGAATGAAGGATACCAGCAGAGTAAAACAGGGTGGAAATGTAACACCTTGCTCAGGAATTTTCTGTCTTAACTCAGTGCAGGTTAATGATTCTGCAGGTTAATGGCAGGTGGTCTGTGTCTCTGATGTCCAGGGTTTCCATGACATTTATAGTAGCACCTGCAGTTATTACAATTACCTGAAATATTAGCAGATACCTGAAGAGAGGTTAGCAGCAAACTTAATGATTTCAGTATCTTCTCCCAGCAGTTTCCAACCCTTGTCTTCAGTTACAAAAGACACTAAAGAAGAAAGCTGTGCACCATACAGACCCTACAGAGGAGACTTCTGTGGCAGTGTATCTTGCTGACAGCATCTTGCAGGGGAACAGGAGGAAGGGCAGAAGGCAGAGATTCACTGGGCTGAAATCAGACTGATTGGGTCCTGTACCTTTCTAAAATTAGAGAATTTCTCTCGCTCTCTCAGAAGTGAATAGAGCTCTGTACTGTAGCAGACCTACTGTCCTCTTAAACTGCAGTGGGTTCATTTTATTACACAGATTTTTATTTTTTTACTATAGCTAGAAGACACAGAACATTTTCTAGATTAGTTCTTTCTATGTAGAGCTGGTAGGCTTACAGTTAATGTGAGGAGCAAGAGTGGCCAAAGGAGAAACTTCTATGTGTTTCTTAAGTTCTAAAGAAGTGTACCAGGGCAGGCAATCTAATGGAAAAAATGGCAAGAGCACTGGGCTTTATCTGTATTTTGCATCACACTTTACATTTTTTCTAATAGAGTGATCAAAGGTTTTCCATTTGTTATGGTTCTATCCATTTCAATGAGATGTTTTGCAAAACTTTAAATACCATGTTAAACCTGAGCTCCCAATCAGTGTCTAGTAGTACGAATATGTGGGTAACTAGTGCCGTTTGACCTCTGTTTGAGTCGCTGAAGCAATATCTTGTTTTTCAGCTAGAAGCCCAGAATGGGAGGTGATTACATTACATCTGGAGCTGAGCCAGGTCACCAGCTGGTGGCCACCGGCAGCCACAAGCACCAGCTCTTTGCATTTGCTCACCTCCATCCCCAGCAAGGGCCTTTTCATGCCTCTTTCACTGCCGGGCCTGGGTCCCTCTTAGCCTTAACCACCGTCCAACAACAGTCTCTGTTTTGTCCCAGCAAGTCACCAGGAATGTGCTGCATCTGCCACCTTCTGGATTCATGCCATGCCCTTCAAATGTGGGTGAGAGGAGAACAATGGCACAGTACATCTTGCAGAGCTGCATGGAGGAAGCCCAAGAAGAAAAGTGCTTGCTTGGACATACGGAGGCATGCTTGCTTTCTTCACATTGTATCTTCGTGTGAACATACACACTGACAGTTTTACACTGAAAGTCTTAACTATCGCTTCCCTTCTAACAATCGACCACGGGATCCTAAGCACTGACACCACATGCACCCAGATGTTGGCATCTCTGTGTTCAGGGGCAGCACCAAGCACTTTATCAGAAGCTTTGTCTCTAAATACTTGTAAAACACTCCCTTAAATTTGTTGTCCTTAAATTCTCTGTCACAGGAACCGGGCTTTTTATTTCAATGAAGGTTGGGATGCTGTGAAAAACAAGAACATATGGTGGCATAATCAGGAACTAGATCCTAATGCAAACATATCAGGAAAATAAGTTTGAGAGAGGCAAATTGATTCTGTTGTTTCTTTATTGTTGATGCTGATGTCAGTTTTTACGTTTACTATTCTACGTTCGTGTTCTATTTGACTTAGGTGAGGCCCCATTCTTGTGAGAATTAAAAATCACATTGGCGCAGCTGCCCTTGGCTGAGCAGCTGTCACTAGTTTTTAGACTGACCATCTGAAGGGCATTAATTTGCTATAAGGTAAATTGTGAAACATCAGTAAGTGTCAATAAAATGACAAGATTTAAGCATAGTGCTCAGAAGACCCGATTAAGGAATCCATTAGGAAGGCAAAATATTATGTATAACACTGCATAATGCAACATACTTGCATCTCTGTACTCTTTTATGCATACTAGAGATCAAGGACTATCCATCCATTTCAGACTGAATTTATGTCAAAAAGTACCTTTGTGATCTGGAGTATATGCTAAATAACCCAAGATAACTATCAGCGATAGCAAAAAATTCAAGCCTTTAAGATGCAGCACGTGAGTTGCATTGTTCCATATAGGTATGGCTGTGCTGAAATTGCCTATTCTGAAAATTAGATTTTAGAAGATATTTATAGGGGCGTTTGAAGGTGGGGTTTTTTCCTCTGTAACACCTATTCGTATTTCTCAGATACCCGCCTCCTCTTGCTTCACATCCATATTGTAGTCCTATCTTTGTATTTCCACACAGTGCAAAGGTTATTAAATGCTGATATTTACACTCAGAGGCAAATCTGTGTTTAAGGGAATATGTGGTGACCCACATCATGATATCAGGCCTGTAACATAACACTGCTAAGAGATAAAATTATAACGCTTCAAGCAGTTCTCCCCAGCTGTGCATCTTACTTGTATTTGATTTATTTAAATGTGAGCATGAAGGAGTAGTCTTGTCTTTTTTCCCCCTAACTCTAATTAGCCATACCAGAAGAAGTTTGTGTTTGTATGATATTATTGAAATACAATGATCCCTTAGAATAACTTGCAAAAAGTTGAAAGATATTCACCCCAGAAATGTACTTGAATGCTAATTGCAGTAGAAGCATGTCCTCCTCCAGGAAATAAACATTCCCTGGGTTTCTTTTTCTCTCTAAAAATGTTAGTAATGGAAAAGTTAGGTGACAAAAATCTATATCATACAAACGTGTAAAATTTTTCCAAGATGGTGCTTTTAATTTGCCATCAGAAAACTAAACTGGTCTTCATTATCAGAAAGAGGAACTATTGTAAAAAACAATTAACTGTGTTGGTAAATCATATTTAAATACTACAGAGCTATTAGAAACACAAAAAATGTGGCTTATTACAATTATTCTTGATCCTATGCTATACTTTTTCCAATGTGGGCAATTTTCTGTGTGTTGCCACAAGCGCTGTTATGCTAGGGAGATTTCTAAAACTGAGGATTAGATCTAGGCTAAAACTGAAATATAAAACTAATTAAATGCAAAAGCCAGGATTCTTAATGTTCTATTAGCTCCCTTCTCTGCACGTAGGAAAATTTTCTTGTTCTTGCTGAGTGCAATTTAATATACTTCAAGATTTTTTAAAAACACCTCGAGTACTTTATAAATTGGGGTCAGGGGCACTACAAAAATCCGTGTTTGTGGGGCCGGTTGTAGCAGAAAGAAATCTCTGTTGGTGTGAAGACGATGTTCTGGGCCGGCTCTCGGCTGCCGTTCTGGGCTCTCGCTCTCCTCACCCAGGAGGCAGGATGGTGCCGTTTTCCAGTCAGCTGGCACAACAGTGAGGGTGGTTTTCCACTGAGCTCCCAGGACAGACTTGACCGGGGTGTTAAACCAGAGAAACAAGCACCGACATTTTGTGCCACTGTAATTTTTGAAGTAAACCCCAAAATGTCTGGATGCTGAAGCTTCTGTGGGATTTTTGAGCACTCCCTTCCGCCCACCTGAGCTTGGTGCCTCCATGCTCTTGGGCAGCTCGGTGGCTCCTCCCCAGCAAATGCACCTGCACCCAGGGGAAATGAGACAGCAAGCAGGAATTCGTCGGTAGGGAAGGAACTGGAAAGCCTTAGCTGAAGGGGGTGTCTAAACCACAACATTAATCTTTTCCATTTTAACAGGTGTATGCTGGAGCTCTTGGGGCATGGGCAACCAGCTGCGCTGGGCAGCTGGAGTCTAGCGATGTCTTACCTGCTCACATCCTCATCTGGCAGTTGCACTGAAGGTTAGGTTAATGCCATTTTTGGCATGTTAATAATGTCAAGAAGTAATGATCAAATGCTAAATCAGCTCATACTAAAACTCAAGTTTATTGTTTTGTCCCTACTGTAAACTAATTTGGCAAGCTTTTCCAGTAGGAGAAAAATAAACTAGACAAGTCGATAAGCTCCTTTGTGCATACAAGAAATGCATTCGCTGCAACGTTTGTTCCATAAGTACACATTTGGTCTCTGAGTACATATGCTGGTAACTATATATAAGTCATGTTACACAGGTGACAAAAAATGACTAATACAAATACTGGATTCATTTAAGAATACTGGGCAGGACATTACTTTTGATTAATTTGATATGTGCAAGTATCTTGAGAAGAAAGTATTTTCAGTCATTTTCCTACAGCTGTGATTCCAGATTTTAGTGTGGTTAGTCTTTCTACAACAGCATGGTTGGGGTTCTCAATAACAAATGATTGAAACATATTATCCATCAATATGAGCAAGAACTGGTATGTTTGTACGTACAGGAGAAGCAGCTTGCAAGCACCAGTGATCTCGCTGGCAACACGTACATTTGGGGGCAAAAATGAAGCCTTTGTATGCTAGGCTGCATTTAGATGTCATACAAACCCCAGAAATTTTGCTTACTTGTAGGTAAACTGTTTTCATCTGAAGGTCACTGTGTAAAAAGAAAGAGACGGGAAAGTCCAGGAAAAGCACTGCTTTGGGGGTTAAGTACCTGCATTTGATGCAACACTTGAAAACACTGTGAAACAGGAAAGAAAAAAGTTGCAACCAAAAAAGAGCATGTCAGCCCCAGATGATTTATGGCCTGATTCCAAGCGCCCTAAATCCAACAGCGAGAGTCCGGTTGTGTTTTCAGCGGGGTTTGGCTCAGATGGGCACACTTTAAACTTCCAAACCGCGGTCAGCGCTGCAGTGAGTCAGGGCAGATGGAAAGTGCCGGTCACAGCCGGGATGATTCAGGGAACAGATGGAATCTGCCACCCTCCCGCTTTGTTTGGAGAGGGGAGCGGGAGGATGCATAGCTAACACGGGGCGGGAGGCCGCCTGGGCTCCCTGTGAGTGGTGATGGCCTGAAAGAAGATACTAAGGCGAGAGCAAAAGGAGAGAGGAAGGGAGCGGTCTGAGGGGAAGGCTGGGTGGAATGTGCGGAATTAGCACGGGGTGGAGCAAGAGACGGGGAAAAAAACAGAGGCACCCTTGGGGTTATGCAACTTGGCAGGTCTTAAACCTGCTACTGGCAGAGGAGGAATCCATAAAAAGCTCTGAGGAGGAGATGTGGCAAGTGGGATTGACAAGAAAGGTAACAGCAATGGGATAGAGCCCAGGTGGTCTGTGCATGGTAGAAGAATGACTTAAAAAAGAGAAAGAAAATATGAAAATGAGATAAAGAGAAATAGTAAAAGGAGAGTTGCTGAATTATCTTGAAAAATTCTGGTTGCCTTGTATGAGTCTTTTTTTTTTTTTTTTCTGTAAGTTCATGCAACTAGAGGGTTTTCTGAGCTGCACTGCCTAGCTAGGACGTCTTTTGTGCTGGGTACCCTTCATGTTCCACACAAAGGACAAAAGATGTGCAAAAAGTGTCTTCCCTCTGTAAAATCCAAATGGTATAGGGCCTGATGAGTGTGTATATAGGCAATACACAGCAAAACCCTCCAAATAATATGCAGGTAAGTTACTTTTCTTGGGAAGTGCTTGTTGATAGATATTCTGTGTATGTGCACATATGCAACCACAACACACACAGTCCATAATCTGCGAGCTAAAACTAAGGAGGTTCTGGGAGGCCAGCTAAAGAGGTCAAGGTACTGCACCACCAAAATACCCCACAGTTTAAAAAGTCATTTTGTCTAATATTGGTGCTTCTGTCATGGAAAGTGCTTAATGGCAACCTGGACTGATCATCAGGTGGCTATTTCATAGTAATCAAAAATAATGACACCTGCAAAAAAGCCCCATCAGCAGCTTCAGCCTAAGAGAATGAACCCTTGCCTGACACAAGCAGAAAATGGGAAGAGATCTCGTTGTGCTATGTTGGAACAAATCCTAATATAATTTAAAAATTGATTATATAGACTTTGAACTGAAATTTGATGACTCACCACTGCTTTGGTGATTACTACAAGCATGCTTAAGGAAGTTTCAAAGTTCTTTGCAAGTAGAAGGCTAATACTTTCTAAATACAGGGAGTATGCAGCCTGGCTTCTCCCTTCTCTGAAAGAAGCTCAAGGAAGAAAATCAGTAAGTGGATCACTTCATTCAAATGACATTGTGAAACCATCTATGGTAAGAATTTAGGGTGGGGCCTGAGAAACACTTTATCGAGATGGAAAATTATAAAGGGTGTGTGTCTTTCATCACGTATTGTATTTCTTCATTTTGTCTGGCTGATATAGTATTAACCAAGATGATCTTCTCAGACATAGCCATAATTAACAAGGCATTGGCCTGGATTCAAGATAATAGTGTTTTAGACCTTTAAGAACAGAACTGAGATGCAAGTGGGTAGTAGATTACTCACTGCTGAATTAAAACCTTCAAGGATTTAATTAGATCGTGGAAAAAAAATCAGGTAGACTTTCATAGTGGGCAGAGGTAGAGGTGGAGGAGCGATACTGTTGCTTTTCCTTAGATGTCATATCCATCAAGAAAGCTGAATTCATGAGAACCAACAGATAGTATTGTCAAAACCCAGGTGCTAACATTGTCTTGTCTGGACCGACCGTAGAAATTATGATCCCTCTGTTAGCACCCTGTCTGGCTTTCCATGGATCCAAGGAATGAAGGACATTTGAATATATTTACAAAGAGCAATTTAGTCAAGCAAAAAAATGTGAGCATGTTTGAAAGGAACTCTAGATTTTGGCCTGTATGTTTGAGGAGATGATTAAGCAACATATGTTCCCATCTCCTACAAAGGCTTATTGACCAATAGCCCTACCCCCTTAAATCATGGTGTAAAAATGAGTGTTTGGTCTTTTATTCATGATATGATAAAAAAAATGGGGTAGTCTGTCTGATAAACCACTTTTACACCTAGCAATAGTTGCTGACGGAAGTATTGCTTTCATAACCAGACTGTCTCCTGACCCAGCAGGGATTATTTTGTCTCTTTCTTGCTGTGAGAGTGCTCATAATTTGATGGACTGATCCTGCACATTCCCACTGATCAAGTATGAGGGAGCTGGATGCTACTACAGCTCTGCCAGTTTCTTTGCACGAATACCTAGTCTTTCAATCAGTCATGCTGCTTTATGTCAAGAGAGGAGCTTAATTAAATTATGTGGGCTCAAAAGACTGTAAATGGAGGTGTGGCCTCATATTCTGTGTGACAAAAGTGCCAGGTCCCAAATGCCTCATCCACCCTCTTCCTATGTCAACTGACCTTTTCTTAAGGCTTGTCTCTGTGTGGAAAGTCTTGTGCAATAGGTATGAGACACAATTAGAGTTTAATAGCTATTTAATACCTGCCCTCTGCACAGACTTTCCTATTCTGCAAGAAAAGCTGTCTTGAGGTTTAGCATAACCCAACACAGAATAACTTTTGCAAACAAAACACCAGCAACAGACTCGATGCTATCACTTGGTACACAGCATCTTTCTAGCATTTGTTGTTTCAGGCTTTTGCTTCATGTAAACATGTTTGGTGGAATTTTTCATAAGTTGTGCTCACCAGCTAGCAATATTTATTTCTCAGACACCTGTCATCAGTCCTAACTAAAATGTATGCTGAAGCAATGGATGAGCAGTCTCAAACAAATTATTTATAATCGCATTAGATCACTCATAAACAGAGGAGGAGATAAACAAGGATTCAGAAACAATAAACTCAAGAGTGATTGAATCAAGAGCATGATGTCCCTTTTAGGAAGGATTTTGAGGTGTTGCATTAACCAAGGATTTGGTATTCACCTAGATAAAAAAAGGAATCCGGAATGCTCACTGTTTTAAAGGACTCTTCCTTAGAAGAGAAAGAGTACACAGACCTCAGACAGTGGGGGTTTTAAGTCTCGAAGCTCAGGCACCAGGAGAAAATACCCCATATGAAGGGGGAATGGAAGCCTAACAAGGAGACATGCCAGGCGTTATGCTGGCTCACACATCAGCTCCTAGATAGTGCTGTCGGTATTTACAGGAATTATGGAGAGAAGGAAAGCTGAGGTGTGTGAAGACACAGATGTGAGCCAGTGCCATCTCACAGCCACAGGTGATTAAAAGAAACTGAGGGTCATCTGGGTGTCTCCACTCTGATCACAAGAACACGCTGGGAACAAGACAATGATGGTAAAAAAACTGTTCTCCAGTTCAAGTTTCCAAGTGGGAATCAAATGTCTCTCTAGCTGGGAATTTGTCCAGGTAATTCAGGGGGCCAAAGCACTTACACATGTACTCCACCATTACCTTTAATACTACCTTCATAAGAAGTGTGACCTTACATGAGAGAGACACACTATGGTGCTGTATTGCTCAGCTATTTCACCTCTTTCAGACACAGCCCCAAACACCCCCTAATCCATGAATGTAGTGCTCAGAAGGGGCTATTTCTGCACGTGGCTATATGGGGATTTCTCATTGTCTGTAAACCCCATGACTAGGTTATGTGCTGACTCTACATATTTCCCTTTCTGCTTCGATGAATGTAGACAAGTACTCAAAAATTACACAAAAGTAAAGGTTTGATTCGCCTTTCACATTCATGTGAATTCAGATTCAAATTGTTTCCATCTATCTATAGATATATATATATATATATATAGATATAGATATATACACAGGCATCTATTTTGCTCACCATGTCTGACAGCCCTGGAGCATGGAATTATTTGTCTGGGGTACACGTACAAACAAGCCGGTAGCAGCGTGTGTTTCTGTACCCGCCTTTGCCATTCTGCCTCAGCACTGGAGAGACTGCAAGATGAGTAAGCATCCCATATGTATTACAGCATTCTGTTATTTTATTACGAGATTTATGATATTTTGTGGTTGTCTTTTAATCCCAGAGACTGAAATCCAGAGATTTCCTGAGAATCTCTGCTTTGATTTTTCCAAAGGAAAAGCTTTGAGGTCTTGACATTGCTAAGAAAGGTTTGAAAATTGTGATGCAATTTTGCCACAGAGATTCAGAAGGAAAACACCAAA